TTTCTAAAGTATAAGAACTAGGATTGTGTAAGGCTAGGTCGGTTTTGATGCTGTGCGTCTTTTAGGATGGCTAGGTTCGCCTCATGTCGTGTGAGCCAGGGTTTGGGGATTAGTGGACCCCGATTTGTGATATATATATATATATATATTTGTGCGTGTGTGTATGTGCGTGCATGCATGCATGCGTGCGTGTGTTGTGTGTGTGAGCATAGCTGGGCTCTATGAAGACTAAGCTCAAAACCCTTACACATGTAACTTGCTCACAACTTGTTCGTAGGCAATTTTGTGTGTGTGTGAGCATAGCTGGCTGTACGAGGACAAAACCCTTACACATGTAGCTTGCTCACAGCGTGTGCACAGGTGAGCATTTTGGGAAGCCGTTTTGATAAGGTAAGATCCACCTATCAGAACTGTGCACTCGTGCTAAGAGAGGACCCCTGCATTTACAAGAGTGCATGTCCTTGGGGGGCACGTTTAAATCCATTGAAAAACCTTGGAGTCCATCCAACTATTAGTTAACTTTGATAGGCTCACTCATGTCCCGACAGAAGTATGTGATGCATAGGAGCCTATTGGGTTGATCTGAGAAATTGGATTGGGTTTCCTGGTCTAGCCCAGTGGAGTACCATATAACCCGACCTTAATGTTTTATAAGAAATGATGAAAAATGTTTTATCATAATTTTAAATAATTTTTTGGGAATTTTATTTTCAAAGGAAAATGCTTTGAAAAATGTTTTGTGTGCTAATTCCAATTAAAGATGCCTGCACATGTGGTGTGTGGCACACCAATGGCCAATGCGTCGTTTTTCGGAACCAATGAAGCTCGATTCCTTAATTTCGGAATCTTGATTCAACACAGTTTTAGAAACCATTTTTCAGAACCAAGGAAACTCAATTCCTTAATTTCGGAATCTCGATTCAGCACATCTTTAGAAACTATTTATTGTAACCAAGGAAACTTGATTCCTTAATTTCAAAATCTCGATCCAACACATCTCTAGAAACTTGAACCCATTAACTGTGGGTAAACTTTTCCAAATACATTGAATTTGGATTCCAACGAGGATTAAATCTTGATTAATAAATAAATAAATTTAAAGTATCAAAAAAAAAAAAACCCAATTCAAAGTACATAATGTCCAATGTCTATGATGGTTGTGCACTTCCTAAAGGTAGAAATCTTTCTTTGAATGCTTCTAGTGGTTGCAGGTTTTCATTATTTTACTTGTGCCACCCTAGATGGCTTTTACTTAAAATTTAAAATATAACTGGTAAATACAACATATACAATTAAAAGTAAAACCATGGCGTAGACATAATCCTATTTTGTCTTTATAATAATGAAATCAAAATCACAATTTAGAAATACTTATCTTTTTTATATAATGACCACAAGTTCAATAATCAACTCAATCACTTTATAATTTGGGACACCTTGTGATCATCCAACATAGGTTGTAAAATTGATAAGGCTCAAGATGTGCTTGGGTTGGCCTTCTCCATAAAAACGAAATCTCGATTCCTGTTAGGGGTCGTCAAAGCATTCCATAATCCATATTATTGTAAATCTCGATCTCAAACTGGCATGGATCTCTGATCTCTATATTTCAAAAACTTGATTCCAAATATGTTAGAATCACGATTCGAAATAGCAACATATCTCTGTTCCACATATGTCAGAAACTTATTCCATAGATGCCCGAAACTCGATTCCATATATTAATGAATCTTGACTCTTGGAGTGTTGATTCCAAGGGGATGGGAATCTCGATTCTTAGGAGGATGGAATCTTGATTCCATATGTGGATGAAACTTGGATCTATTTCAATCGAAACACGGTTCTCAAAAACTAGGAATCTCGTTCGCCTCAATTCCTATTGTACGGACAACGATTCCTAATACAAGAATCTTCTAGCCGGTGGCGATTCCGCGATTCTGGTTCCTAAAACGATTCAGGTTCCCAGGCGTTTCCAACAACTATGGACTAGAAATAGGACCCTTGTTTGGATATGACACATAACCTTATTATGTATAATGTGTTTAAAGGCACATGTGTGGTGATGATATGTGTGATTTCACACGTGGGAATGTAGAGATTTCACATTTTCGTAAATTATTTTATCTCCTAATTATTTGATTGGATTATCTTTTTAGAATTTGAACTGGAGGTTTCTTATTGGTATGAAGGATGATGTCATGTCCCCCTTTTGAAAGTGATCTTATACTTAGCTTAACTGTGAAGGAAGGTTCACATTAATGAACCTAATGGGTGGCACGCCACCCCCTCTTTTGTTTTGACGTGAGATATTTTATTGACGGTTGTGATTTAGTGATTAAAAGATGAATAGTGGAGATTTATTGATGGTTGTGATTAAAAGATGAATGGTAGAGATTCATTGATTTTGAATTTTTTTTTTTTTGATAATAAACATTCAACAATAAACATTCCCATAGGGTTAAAGGGCACACGTGATATTGTTGGAAATGTTGTGGAGGTGTTATTTAGGTATGGTGATAAGGGTTTACTCATTTATCACCGTCCATGTGATAGCTATCAATGGTGATTGAATAGGCTAGGTCTTTAGCCGCTCTCAACCCTTGGATCACTATATGGGTGGTTGAAATCTAATCTAAGATGTGAACCTCACATGAAAAATCTATAGATGGGACCCCTTCCCCTTGGCTCATTTTTTGTTAGTTCTTCATCTTTGAACTCGTATCTCTTCTCCAAAAGGGCCTCATTCCCCACTCCTTGAGTTTTCTCTAACCCACTTCAAAGATATTATTTTGTGTAGCCAACCCTTTAGATTTTTGCTAAGCCTATGTTCATGATGAAGGCCTTGTGCTCTAAGCTTCATCACGCACCATCCATTGTATGATGGCTGCTGTTGAGCCAAGTTTTGGCTGCTGCTATGTCTAAGAAATGTTGCTGGAAATTCTCATGACCCCCTTTGCGATACCATTTCTAAGATTCGAAATAGACTCACGACTGTTCTTCTCCCATGTTGAAGTATAGTGTCTACAACTTCATCACGCACCTCTCAATCCTTGTTTGCCTGCTGTTATGCCAATCAAATGCTGTTGGAATTTCACCACAACAGTAAGCAACTCTCTCTCATGAGTTTATTTTTTGTAGTGGTTTAGTGTAAGAGAAATAAGGGCTTTCACATTGTTTTAATGATAAAGTTTTCATGCTATTTTGTGCAAACTGTTGAGACTTATATGTTGTTGGAATGCTAAATTAGAAGCATAACAGTAAGCTCTCCCTTAGCTCCATGCACTAAACTTAGTCCTTTTGGTCCCATAGAGGTTCGCACCTTTGAACCAAACCCTAGGGCCGAAACTATAGCATTTCGAGCCCGTTTTAGGTCCGAATTCTCTCCATTTGTTTCACTTGGTCCTATGCCCAATCTTAAGTTGTTTTTGGGATTTATATGAGTATGAAAACTATGTCATGTGTTGGTAAGATTTATTTTCTTCTCGAGATTTAGGTAAAAACCGGATCGTTCTTGCATTATTAAGAGTGAGTGATAGTCAAGGGTTGTAATTATATCGTTGCAGTGATTCGCATAGTGGTTATTATGAAATTGGCTTCCCATTGGATACTTTAAGTACATGCACATTGTAACTAGTCTTTATTTTGTTATATTTTATTTCATTTGAATTGTATGAAGTTATGCTCGGTTTATAAGGGCGTAGTTGTTGATGAAGATTATTGTAATTCTATTGTTATTTGGAGTTAGTGGGGGTTTTCCCAAGGTGAAATGAAATATTGTACAAGTCTTTTGTAGATTTTTTATTTTACAGACATTGTGTGATTCCCTCGATACTACTTAGGTAGATATTCCAATAACTCAGGTTAAGAGCAGTGGGAGGCGGTCTATAGGGTCCTGACATATTTCAAAGGAACTATAGACCTTGACCTACATAATGTGGTTGATTCGCTATATTAGAAGGTACAATGATGTATTTTGGAAATAGGATTCTGATGAATCCATGATTACTAGCATATGAATCTCCACTCCCAATGAGAGTGTATTTTTTGGATACCAAGATATAAACTTGTATATCCAAAGGATTGGACATAATTGCCTTGGAACCCACCAGTGAGGAGGCTAAGTGGCTAAGGTTAGGATTTATTATGGAAAGTCCAGTTATAATCGCTTGAGGCATAGTTAGTTGAGAATTTTACTTAAGGATGGAGTCATAGCAGTACTCCATATCTGTTGCACCTAGAACTTGGTAGAATAAGTGATAAAACATGTTGCAAGGAACCAAGTCTGGAAGGTAGCTAGAGGGATGTGATAGAGGCCAAATGCGTTATTCCACAGGGTTATGGGAACCCTACCTTATCATCAACCCAAATGCCATTATCATCAACCCATACCACCACCCGATCGCACACAAGTACCTGCCTTCTTTGAATTTGTATGGGACCCATTTATGTAGGTCAACCTTTGAAGGGCATTTCTGAGGGCTAACGACACTACGTTGTAATGTGTTTGGCCTATGATCTATTGTTCAAAGGTGGCACTAATTTCATTACCATCCTGTCAGATCTGTGGGGACATATTTAGCCTGTCACCTGTTATGCTATATTCATTTAAGAGATTGAATGAGTCTAGCATGATTAGCCATGGATCAAATGCTCATGATGCTCAAGAACAATAGGAAGTGATGGAATCATGGATTGATGTGATATATTATTTTGTGTGTGGACTTGCATGTCTTCTTGTGTGCATGCACGTGTGGGTATTTGAGTGTCTATGGCTGATATATATGTTTCAATATATACAATAAAAAGTAAGGTTGGAATGTCTCAAATCTTACTGCCTTGGCAGTTCTCCTCATTCAGCTTGATCTCTGTCAATAGACAGTTTCCCCCTTTTTGTATTCATTGTAAATGAACATTTTTTGAAGATTAAATTTCTTGAGTTGGTAGAGGAATGGTAGAGATAGGTCATATTCTTCGGATTTCACCTTTCTTTGGTTTTGCAGGCATCTAGAGAAGGATATTTAGCAATCATAATGCCAAAACCAGCAGATTGGCTTAAATCCAAAAGTATTTTACTTAACAGAGAAGAATACAAGAAGCTGAGAGGTCTTTCCTGATTTTCTCCAGGAGCTTCGTTCATGATTATCTGATGTAAATGATTGCTTAGGACTGTGTGCCAGATGAGATTTATTGGATGTCTGTGTGCCAGATGAGATTTATTGGATGTTTTATTTCGTTGATACTTTTAATCTTTTCTCTTGGTGATCAAGGTAAAAGCAAACATGCATGTCATGAAACCTGAATTTTGTGTTTTCAAATACTTGATAATGTAAGCAAAGCTCACATGATGGATGGTTGATTTGTTTGATGTATACTTATACCATATCCAGGGCTGCTAGGTGGATGATTCCTCCTTCGAGTCTTAATAGAAGAATAACTATGAAAGATTACTTCTAGATAAACTTGAAAAATGGATTATGGGCCAATGTGGATTTTGATCGATTACATATCTAGTTTAGTATTGGTGGAAATATGAGAATAATTGAAACATGCCAATTTACAAATGCTTGTTTCGAAGTTCTTTGCTTCAATACATGATTGTAGATGGTTGGTTTCATGGTCTCTCATGCAGCCCAACATTGGCATCAGCAAGTTCAGACGTGTTAATGTTCAACATAAAGGAGATTGGAGACTTTGTGAGTTGGAATTTCTGATTTCTATAAGAGCACTGTCATCAGTTCTGATTTCTAACTTGAGTTGATTTACATGGCATAGACAAAAGCAACCACAATTTCACATTTACTCATGAACAAACTGAAATCCTTATAAGGGTGTACAAACTTCATACCAAATAAGAAAATTGTAAGTCGGGTTTTGGTAAAAGAGTGGCTGAAGGTCTGTCTTAATTTCGCTAATGTTCCAAGATATCTAAAGCATCACTTGAGTTTGGCTGTACTGCATATTGATCCCCTTCTTCTTCTTCTTCAATTTTTTTTTGGTTGATAAGGGAAACCGATCCAGCTAACAACCTACCTATTTGTTGCGTTATATTGATTTGTTATAAAGCACTTGATAAAGTTGCAACTCCAAGCAGATATGGTTTGAGTCTTTGTATTTATTTGTTAGAAGGGTGTGGTTTCTAGGTTGCAACCTTAAACAATCCAATTAAGGTGCACCTCCAAATTTTATCATATCATGCAATTTTGGTGATAAAAATTCTTAAGATTATTTGAAAATTTATTTTTTATCTAGTTATAAAATCGAATAGATCTATAAATATATGGAAATCTTGAAAATTGACGGTCTAGATAATGTGTTGCAAGATGCACTATTTGTGGGACTGAATTTTTTATTTTCTTTTTATGTTCATACATCTCGATGTTGAGATGATCAATTAGAAGGTTTTTCAACATTAAAATCACCTTTTTCGATGGATTTTTGAGGTGCATCTGTAATTCTATACTTTTTAAGGCTGCAACCTTGTATTTTGAGAAGTGGAATGAACCCCGTATTCCTTTATGACCAGTGTTTTGAGATGGACTTTCGACCCTACTTTGGTTTTGCTGTGCTAGGGAACCGTTTTAGTGATTCGCACATTTGAACGAAGATTCATGCCATTTTTCTGTTGGTGAGAAAATCCATTTTTATTAGGAAGCGAAAAAAGAAATATAAAATATTACAATTGCTTCCTTATATGGCTGAATGTATTTTGTAGCTTCATGACAAGAAGCTGATGTATTATCCCACGATGTGCCCACTATTTCAAAGTTTTCTTAATATTTAGGGAAATTATATAAAATATACCTTTTATTTTAGATAATTAGAAATAAACCTCAATTTTTTTTAAAACCTCATCAATACCTTTTTTTTCTTTGGGAAAAGTTTATATAGAGCCTAGGCTCTAAACAATCAAATTAGTGCCTACCTCAAAATTTTCACTAGAAGAGGTTGTTTTGATACCCAAATATCATCAAATTGATCATCTCCACTTCAAGATGCATGGATACGAAAAAAATGGATTTTAAGTTTTGGAAATAGTGCAGCTTGTAATGCATTTTTGGATCGTCAATTTTCAAGATTTTCAAGTTTTCATAGATGTGCTCGTTCTACACTATTTTTTAAGCTTAAATTTTATAACTAAAGATGAAAATATAATTGAAGGCTATAACAAAACTTTCAAGTATTGAAACTATATTTCTTGACACTATTTGAAGGTAGGCTCCAATTTTGATTATTTAGAGCATCGGCTCTATACAAACCACACTTTTTCTTTTGCATTTTTTAGATTATTATAAATTTTTTGAAGGATGACAAAGGAGCTTTTAAATATTTTTCACCCAAATTTTTTGTTTTGTTCATTTAAGTTTAAGGTTTTAAATGTGAAAATGTTTTATATTTAAGTGACTCAATTAGTCACATGTTATTTTGGCATACATAATCTTATTCACATGTGTATGTGCTTAGGGTTTGGGGTATGCCGTGATATTTTGGCTTAAATCTTAACTTCTAAAGTTGTGTTTTGTGTGGCATCACCTCATTAGCTTGAGTCTTTGTGAATTTCGCTTCATCTCATTGGATGAAAAGAAGATGTTTACCAAATTACTTGAGGGGCACCCTCTACCCTACTTTTGGAATTAAGAAATGCCAATTTTTTAGACTATTTCTCTACAAAGGACAATTTGGTAAAATGGAAATCTAGGGTTTCTTAAAGGATTGAAGATGTGAAATCTCATCTTTTGATGTAGATAGCTATAGCACCCTTGAGAGAGAGCCGAGAGGTTTGTGATAGCCCTGGCACCTTTTGGACACTCTACAAATTTGGTTAAAGAGAGAATATGTGTAGGAATTGCAACTGTCACTTTTGAAAGAGGCCAAGAGGTCTATGATTATGCTTATACAAGTCAATAAACTTATACATATGCACAAAGTGAATTACAAGCAAGCATGGATTATGGAATTCGCTTAAAGCGACAAATATTGAGCCAATTTTAAGATGGATACTTAAGGGTCGTAACACTTTTCTGTATTCGCTATAATAGGCTCCTACTTTCTTTTATGAAAATTCTAGTCTTTGCCATAAAGTAGAATGTAAAAATTTTAAAAGAATGCAAATCTAACCCTGAGAATGGACCTTTGGAGAAGGGAGAGAGATGAAGATAATTTTCTCAAAGGAATATGAAACATTAAATAAATGCCTTTAATAATATCTAAATCAACAACAACTGTAGCAACTAACATGCATAAATAAATCATTAAGCAAGCACACACCCACCTTGTAGAATTCTCTCTTTTCTCATACAAGTTTAGCATAGTCTCCAAACGATAGGTGAAAATTCGTGTGTAAGGTTATTTATAGAGTTTTGAAAGGGTAGTTCTTGAAAATTCAAGTGGAAAGGGAATCCTAAAAAAAAGGAAGCACGATACGATTCCAAGTTGCGCCATGCAAAAAGTGGGCCCCCAAAGGTTTGACAAGTGTGCAATAGGCTTGGAAATGATGCCAAGTGTCCCAACGACTAATTGATTTGTCGAGGCATTCATAGGAGTTACGCCATCGTTTGGTTGAAAATAAGGCGCGATTTGAAGTTGTCTTGGTGTGCAATTCCATATTGCGCCTTATTTTGAACGTGTTGGTTTTCATGTGGAATATTCATGTAGAATATGGCCCCAAAGTGGTGCCACATGTTTGTATGTGATGGAAACAACAACATGTGTTTCAACGGTAAGGTTCTCCACTAGGGCGCAATATATAGTCATGCCTCATCTACAGGAGATGAAGGTGTAACTTGAAGTTGTGCACCAGGGCACTATTCAAACTTGTGTACCAATTTCTTTATATTTGTTAAAATTTAGGCTGTGAGCCTTGCAAGTAAGACACGTATCGTAGATGATATTCAAGTGATGTCACGTGTGTTAACAATCATATAGAAAGCAAGTTGCAATTTTAAATAGCGCCACATTTTTTGGTTAGTAGCAAATAAAGCACAACTTGAAGTTACCCCTTGGTGTGCAACTTTGAATAGCGCCTTAGTAGTAGAAGACAAAAAAGTGCACAATTTCAAGTGGCACCCTAAGTTGATGCGCAACTTCAAGTGGCGCCCTGACTGAGGCACCATTTCAAATAGCACCTTATCTCCACAAGGTACAAATATGTGTCGATTGAAGTTTGACACGATGTAAAGGTGGATGTGGTTTATGTTCTTGCTACATATATTTGTAAGTCGGGTATCTACATGTGTCTCTCTTTGTCATTAGTTAGGTGGAGTTGATGCCAAGAGAAAAAAAATTTCAAAATTTAACTAAAAAATGGATAATGTGCTTGTGGCCTTCGAATGAAAAAAAAATGGTTTTGGTGCTTGCTGTATGGTGACCAAGTACCATCTTGAAACTTGTAATGACTACCGAATCCCATCAAAACTTTTGATGTGACACTTGAAGACAATATTTTGTGCTTTTACATGGTGACCAAGCCATCCTAGAGCTTATGACGATCCCCAGGTCTTGCTAAGACTTTGATGCGGTACATGAAAGCCAATTATGATGCTTTTTATATGGTGATTAAACCATCCTGGAGCTTATGACGACCCCCAAGTCCTGTCAAGACTTTGATGCAATGCTTGAAAATCGAAAGTCGGTATTAAATTGTTGTATGGTATTAAATCTTGTCATATTGATTTAATTTTTAATTTCTCAATTTTGACCGGGCTTAATCATTTCTTTTTCATCTTGTGTCATTAGGATAAATTTCCTTAGCAAATTTCAATGAGCTATGTATCTCGTCCAAATATACAATTAAAGTATGTGAACAACATCTCAGGGTTTCTAGAAAACGCGTCATAGACCGAAGGTCTTTTTGGCTTGCTGTTTTCTGAAAACCCTTTTCATCATGGATGAGTGGGGTGTCATTTCAAGTCTAATGGAATTATATATATTTTATTTTAGAGTAAAAAGACATTTATTAAAATAATTGAAAGTAATAGAATATGTAAAAGTAAACTATGAAATGTTGAAAATACAGGAAATTGTTTGGCTTGAAAATAACATGACAAAATGCTCCAGACCCCTATAAACTTCGCGTGTGTCCTTTGCTTATGATTCTTCAATGATCCTTTTTTTATAAAAAAATTACGTTCTAACAGAAAACCTCATTTTCTTTTGTAAAAACTTTTCTCTCTCTTCCTTTATGAAAGAATGATAAATACACTACGGCTCCCTAATATGTCATCTTGCTCTTCTTTTTTCTATATTCCATGCTAGCGTTATTTATAAAAAAAGTTAATAAGATGTTCTTTACCACTTATCTCCTTGATTTAAAACATCTTTTACATTAGCCAATTAGCTTTGAACTAATACCTTAGCTTTGTTAAATTG